ATGTTTTGATTTGACTTCAATATTATATATAAGTTACATGGAAAACCACCCGTCCATTGGAGGGCTTATAATAAATATAATAAAACTGACAACAAAAACAAGAATATATTCTCCAACTTTATATATGGCTCTTAAAAAATATCTGATTTGATTGTAATTGGAGTAGAAATTCATGCTTAAAACTGGGATAATATGTCTTTCCTATGCGTATAAATGGTTTCGATGACCGCGACTATAGTTTTTTCATATATTTATAGCCATAAGTTATATAATCTATTTTAATGGCTAATCATTTTCTGTCTCATATGGAAAAACTTATTCGTCTAATAAATGTATTTCTCATTAAATAAGAAAAATATTTATATTATACGGCATTTGAAATTCTTGAGAGTAGTAGTTATGTATGTTTTAAAACATATTTCAATAAAAAGATATAGTATTTGTTTGCGATATAAGTTATGTCGGAGGGTCGGGGTCTATACTTACCGTGTATATACCAAGTATTCCAGTCCCTATGACATTGACTACCCATTCACGCGATATTATATGCACTCGAGTGCACATAATTATTATCAAATGCTTTTTCGACTTAATGTCGACTTTTCTTAACAATAAGGAAGACATTCAGATGTCATACAGAATATCAGTGTTTAGTGTATTATTTCTCGCAGTCTTTGTCACGACTCCGATGTGTATGTATAGCCTGACCGTCCGGTTCCTAGCCTTGAAATATGAAAATATATATTAATTTAAGATTAAGTGATAGTATAATAGCATACAATACACTCGCAGTCATGACTTGGCTCATAGGCAGAGAAACCCATTGTTTTCTTTAGTAAAAGTTGTATATAATGTATGAATTAACTTATGATTCCTTGTTGTATGAGTAGTACGTGAATGAGAAAAGTTAATTAGTCTATACTATAAAGAGTAGTAAAAAAGACAATCTTTCAAATTGATGGACAGCCTTGTCTTGTCTACTCGTTTCCACGTCCTCCCTGTCCTCACTGTCTCCTCAGACTTTGCTGTCAAGACTATTATAACCGGATTTCTTACTCTTAAGATTCAATTTTTGGTTTTTGTTTAGTAATTAATATGGCAATTAATTTAAAATTAGTATAAAATTACTTTTTTCTCTCAAATACATTACACAAGACTAAGAGTGATACCAAAGGACTTATTGTCGCAAATGTGGTCTTAATATAATATATTTATTACATGTGATTCCCACCATTATTTTGACCATTTGGTCACATTTGTAATCTTGAGGAATTAAAAATCTTATTTAATATTATGTCACTTCAAAGAGTCCGATACTTTACAATAAAAAAATACATACAATTTATACAGATTATTTTCTATTAATCATCGATTATCTAAAATTAATAATAACACACTCTAATTAATTACATATAATTGCTTTAAATGCGAATTAATCAAAATTATATACATTTTGCTAATATTTAAAAAATATAAGATATTGAAATATTGGGCTATTTTTCAAAATGAGTTATATTTATACATTATTGCCAATAAATACTAGTTCATTTAGTTTGTTTTTATAGATTTTTATTTCGCATCTATACTCTAATTATACCCATAATTTAAAAATATGACACAAATAAATATATTTTACGCAAGTTATTAATTGCTGTCATTAGGACTCATATATGAAACTGAAATGTTGGCATAACTTATGAAAATCGCATAACAAGTACTCAAATGCCATCTCTAAGGCTTAGATAACAGTAAAGAATTGTTTCACAGAATAATGCTAAATAAATGCTAATAAAGTATACATTTATCAAACCTTCAACAGAATATTATTTATGATTATTTATTTATTATTAATGCAGTCAGAGAACTAATACTAATAAATAAAAATTCACTTCTCAGACCCTGTTTAAACATTTATGGCATCTCTACAGTAGTAGTCGTGCACATGAAAGGGGTAATCATCGACACAAGACTCCGCTGCCTATGACTTATGGCAGGCCTACTGATGGCCACCAAAGAGACAGCTATTGTCGAGAAATTATATCCGCATTTTCGCTCATCTATTGTGGGTTTGGTCCGACAATTGAGTGGATATACTGAACGGTAATCAGTATTATTGGTCGGCAATCAAAGGCAATGCAAACGTTTGCTTATCAGTAGTAGTGGTAAAACATATGTAATGAACGCCGTGGCGGTGGTACATAAATCTGACGGCACTGGCGACTCGGCGACTACTTGATGTAGTGGGACAGTCAGCTCTGCGATGGACCCACTGCTGTGTCCCTGCGCTGCTCCCCTATGACCCCTATCCCGACGAGATTGGGTCGGATGGCAGAAAAGGGCTCAGCGGGTAGTCCTTCCCCATAGCACTGACATAGCCGTGATGTGTAGTCGCCAGTGCTCCAGGATTTATGCTACATATCATATCCATGAGATATGATGCCCTAAGCCATACCAGTGCTCTCACTCACTCACTCTCTCTCTCTCTCTCTCTCTCTCTCTCTCTCTCACCAATGATACTGTGGTCAATAGATTCAACAGTTTGTTGGCTAAGTTTACAGTCATTTAGCAAATGATAGCAATAAAACTCATGTCTCAAGGAATACACACTAATATACTATCGATTATTGGCCACAAAATTACACTTTATTGTGAGAAAATAGTTTTTTGATATAAATTTTTAAAATTATTTTCAATCAAAATAATATATATTTTGAGATTTTATCTAGAATGAATGTAATTTATTGACTACAAGCGCTTTCTGTCATCAAGTTGATTTAAATCTTAGATTTGCGAGATAAGTTTTAGTTACAAAAATCACTATAGAGTACAAGTGTAATGAGAATCTCATTATGAGATTATTATTGAATGCATAATTGTAGCGCGAGTTTTGGCAATTGTTTGAATTTAAAATTTAAAGTTTTTGCTTGTTTTGACTTTAATTGATTTCGTGTCAAAGAGTTGACAATTGAATAAAATAATAGCTAATCATAATCTTTGGGCACGAATTGTGTTTAATTTGTAGATTTTGTTTATACAGACAGTGTTTTACATTTCATAAATAAATTGAGATCAAAATGAGTGCAAATAACAGTCAAACAAAAACTCCTGCAATGAATTCAGAGAATTCTGACCAAAAGGCGACTAAAACTCCAAATTCTGAGCCATTAGTGAATAAATCAAATAATTCTACAAAACCTGAGACAACGGCAAAGAATGTGAATAATTCTGAAGTGAAAGTGAATTCTGATAAGAATATCGAGAATGAGGTACAGAAGTACTACAACCGGGATGTGTGGCACGTGACCACCAGTTCGGCCAAAACTAAGATCGAGTCGCGAGTGAAACAGTTGGAGAAAATGAGTGCCGAAATCCTACAGAACCCGGACTCGGCTCACGAGGAGAAGGAGGCCCACAAATACCTGTGCGCTGTACTCAATAAACTGGACTGCACTGTACACTCGTCTTATATCCATCCGACAGCTTTCAAAGCTATATTCAGCTCAGGCCCAGCCGCTGAACATACCGGTGCGCCCACTGTTGGCTTGATTTGCGAGTACGACGCCATCCCCGGGTTCGGTCACTGCAGAGGCAATAACTTGGTGTCGGAGGCGACCATTGGCACACTTCTCGGTCTGAGGGAAGCCATGAAAGCGGACACTCGTTTAGTGGGAAAACTGGTCATTCTGGGAACGCCTGCCAGTGAAGAATCTGGTGGTAAGATCCGGATGATGAAAGGCGGCGCTTTTGATAAGATCGATGTCATCGTAGCCATCAGACCGTCCAATCATAACTGTCTGCTCCCGAAGTTTTATTGCTCTCAAAAAGTATTGTATTTTTGGTTAAAATTTGGCGAAATTATAATTAATTCTTGTCTGACCTCCAGATTCGTGTGTACTTCACGGGAACGGCACGTCATATGGACTCATCAAACGTAATCCATGGCCGCAATCCAGTGGATGCGGCCGTCCTGTGCTATACCAACTCCATGTCCCTCGCGAGTCAGTTGCAGCCCGACTGTCAAATACATTGTATAATCAAACGGTGCGGTGATATCGACTATTTGGTGCCCAAGAGGTCGGAGATGGTGTTCTGCGTGAGAGCGCCGACATTCAAAGACTTGGACCACATTAACCGGCGTATCGTAGACTGCGGTGAGTCTGCAGCTCACGCCACACAGACACGGGTGGAGTTCCACTTCCCCGACGACGATATGTATAGTTACGTGAATCACAACAAAGTTTTGGCCAATATTTTCAAGGAGGAGGCGCTCAAGTTGGGCGTCGACTTCCAGACGGTGTCTTATGATCACAGCCACCCGACAACCGATTTGGGTAACGTCTCTCACAAGGTTCCCCTCATATGTCCGAGTTTTGCCATCAGCACCGATAGTGTCAGTCCAGTCCATACGCCGGAGTTTGCGGCCGCTGTCAGTAGGGCTGAGGCGCAGAGCAATACGATTAGAGTATCGGTTATAATGTCTTTGACTATAATTAAGTATTTATTGAATGCAAATATACGCCAAGAGATTAGGAAACAGTTTGAGGCCGACATCGAAGTCATGACCAAAAGTGTCAAAAAAGATTAAAATATTATTTTTCATTAGTTTTTTTTGTATAATTAATGATAAACTATAGAATATAATGTAATTTAATGAATATTCGTGTAAATAAACATTAAAAATCTAATTTTCATTTTACATTTGCAAACAATTTTCTCTGATATTAGAAATTAAAAAATAATTTAAACTCTACTTTAGATAACAGCGAAAGCAATAAAAATATGACTAAAAAGACATTTTAGGGACACAAAAGAGTGGTTCAAAGAGAAAGACATGAATTGTGATTAAAAACATGAGTGTTTTGCTGTTTGTCACTATTAAAGGATGAGTCCTATCAATGCAAATGTAAATGAGGTGTCGAGAGATGACTTCAATAATCCATTCAATGTTTCCTATGATTTGAATGCAAACTCGAATCAAGTTTTACTCAAACTCTTAGCTATTAATAAGTGGACAGAGTGTCGAAGAAACAGACAAATAGTGTTGTAGTGAACGACAGACTCAACGAACAGCTTATGGTTAACGCAAATAACAGCGAACTCGACAGCGATTCGCAGATCAATATCTCGAAGATATCACACATTTCAACATCTTTTGTAACCCAAGCGGACGTCCATTCAGACCATTCAGAGCAGGCGTTTGCCTCAACACCCATCAGGACTTCGGAACCGTTTGTTGACTACAACTCCATGAGTGGCGACGCTCTCGACACCAACATGTCGTCCATAATCTTCAATCAAACATCTGAACCGATTATCAACTGGTTCAATGTCGCTCAAGATGTTGATGTCTTGGACCGCACGCGAGAGTCGTTTGAGACGGCGGACACCCATTTCGATATGAGTTACAGTTTGGACGACACTCTGTACATGACTGCCGTCGAGGAGCAGGAGGGCGGCCCCCAAACAACTGCGAGGAGTCGAATCCCGGTGTTGATCCGTCGGATGGCTGGCCCACGAACTACGGCCACAACATCGCGAGCGACCGCTCCTAAGCCCACAGAGAGTAAGCCTTTGGCTAAACCGGCGCCGACTACCAGAGCGCCCATTGCTTTCCGAACGACAGCCACCGCAACAACTCGTACGACCACTTCCAGGACTAATGGCACGATAGCCGCCACCTCTACTTCGGCGCCAACGAAGCCATTAACTAAACCCATCGGGTCTTTGAAGGTCAAGACGTCATCACCGGCTGCTAAGTCAGCGTCGGCTACAAAAGCAGCGGTCGATAAGAAGGCGACCACTACTGGAGCCGTGCGTCTGAAGACTACCACGACATCCACTTCTCGGTTGGCGTCCGCATCGACTGCGGCCCCCAAAGCCGGCGGCGGTCCTACAAAACCAGCTGCGAGTCAAGTGACGGCAACCACTCGTCCGACAACTCTGTCGTCTGCGCCGAGAACTACGACCACAACCACCCGATTCACCGCTCCTAAGGCCTCGGATAACAAGCCGTTGACTAAACCGGCGCCGACTACCAGAGCGCCCATCGCTTCCCGTACAGCACCCGCTTCGCCATCATCCCGAAGCACAGCAACCACTACGTCGCGATCGGCCACCACTTCTCGCACGCAATTGACGTCAACAACCCGTCCGACGACTACACAGACGACTGGCCCACGAACTGCGGCCACAACATCGCGAGCGACCGCTCTTAAGCCCACAGAGAGTAAGCCTTTGGCTAAACCGGCGCCGACTACCAGAGCGCCCATTGCTTCCCGAATGACAGCCACCGCAACAACTCGTACGACCACTTCCAGGACTAATGGCACGACAGCCGCCACCTCTACTTCGGCGCCGACTAAGCCTTTAACTAAATCCAGCGCTTCTTTGAGGACAGCGACGACTGCA